GAGCTATGCACTAGACAAAGATTGATTCTCTTTGCTACAGCAACATATAATATAGAATACCATATAGGGTTCTTTTTTTTTTTTTTTTTTTTTGGTTTTTCGAGACAAGGTTTCTCTGTGGTTTTGGAGCCTGTCCTGGAACTAGCTCTTGTAGACCAGGCTGGTCTCGAACTCACAGAGGTCCAACTGCCTCTGCCTCCCGAGTGCTGGGATTAAAGGCGTGTGCCACCACCGCCCGGGCATATAGGGTTCTTCTTTTTTTTTTTTTTAAATATTTATTTATTTATTATGTATACAGCATTCCTTCCATGTATGCGTGCAGGCCAGAAGAGGGCACCAGACCCCATTACAGATGGTTGTGAGCCACCATATGGTTGCTGGGAATTGAACTCAGGACCTTTGGAAGAGCAGCCAGTGCTCTTAACCTCTGAGCCATCTCTCCAGCCCCCGCATATAGGGTTCTTAATGTGAAAATTCTCCTGGTCCTTAGGAAGACATCCTTTATTAGAACGGATAATAAGCTGTTTATTTCTCTCTAACAGGATGCACTCACCATCATCTTCATCTGCTACTTTTTCTTTATCATCCTCGTCTTCTGTGGGTCTCCCTGCAATCTGTGCCAGTTCCTTAATGACTTCCTCTGTGGTCAATTTGGCATCAATAGCCAAGAAGGCATCTTCTAAAGCCTGAATTTAAGTAAGGTAGTGTAAGACAAAAGTAGTGGGTACAAATGAACTACCTAATATACACATTCACAAGCACACAGTTGGGATGCAAATTCAGGAGTGATCAATCCCACTAAGATACACACAAATAGAGAAAATGGTTTAGAGACCCGCGGATAAGGTAATTCTGAAAATATCCAACTGGGAAGAAGCTTGTTTTGAACATAGGACTCTGAGGAAAAAATGCTATAGATAATCAATAGCTAGAGAGCAAAGAGAAGCCAAAGGTTAGAAAATGAGGGAGAACCCTCCAAGAATTAAGGTGGAAAATTAACAGTGTAGAAAGACAGACCTTCTGTAGCTTGCCTTCCTTGTAGGCCTTCTGATCTTTGATAATATCAGGAAGATATTTGGCACAGTACAAGGCAACTTCCTCACCTAAAAGAAAGGTTTTATTAACAAAACAACGCTGCCCACATGCAAGGACACAGGTGATAAACACCTTAACATACCTGAGACCTAGCTGTAGAACAATGAGAAAGTCTGACCCGGACAACAGATTTCAATATCATTTCTCTGAGGAGTATATTAACATATCCCTTGAGTTTTCCTTACCTATTATATTTAGTTCAAGCCTGGAAAGTAAAAGAACAAAAGCATCCCTTCTCTTGCCCGTTAAAGTCTAGGGTTACCAATAAGATCTGCTAAAGTTACCTCCATGTCCATCGTAGACAGAAAACATGGCTGTCTCGTTGTCCAGCTCAGGAATACAGTTATGAGCATCCTAGAAGAAGAAAGAACATAATCAGCATGTCTCAAGTTTAAAGCCATTTCTCCTATATTTCAGGCCACAAGGTGCTTCCCGATCTTCACAGCACAATCCTTCTCTGGCTGGGCAAACATGGATTAGAAATGAGAAAGTTAGATAGGTTGATAAAAATATAGGAGAGGAAGGCAAAGAAGGGAACAAAAGGAATAAGAAAAGCAGATTCGCCAGACGGTGGTGCACACCTTTAATCCCAGCACTTGGGAGGCAGAGGAAGGTGGATCTTGGTGAGTTCGAAGCCAGCCTGGTCTACAAGAGCTAGTTCCAGGAGAGGCTTCAAAGCCACAGAGAAACCCTGTCTTGAAAAACAAAACAAAACAAACACAAGCAAAAAAAAAACAAAGAAAGAAAAGCATACTCAGATCATCACCTCTGTAATATAGCATTTTCCCTAGATCTTTTTTTTTTTTTTTTTTTTGGTTTTTCGAGACAGGGTTTCTCTGTGGCTTTGGAGCCTGTCCTGGAACTAGCTCTGTAGACCAGGCTGGTCTAGAACTCACAGAGATCTGCCTGCCTCTGCCTCCCGAGTGCTGGGATTAAAGGCGTGCGCCACCACGCCCGGCTTTTCTCTAGATCTTGATCCAGAGAAGAATATTTGGTTACTGGATGTTTAGTAAATGTAGGTCTGACCCTTCCAAGCTATAGAATCGAAATACAGGCTCTTTACAGTTACTTTGGGTCCATGTGATGGCTCAGAGAGTAAACATGCTTGCTGCCAAGCCTATATACTTGAATTTGAGCACCAGGACCCACAGGCATGGTAGAAGGAAAATAACCAATTCCCAGAAGTTGTCTTTTGACCACACATGCTATCACAGCTTGGGAATACCCTCCCTCCAAACTAAACAATACAGGAGATTTAAACAATAAAGTTACAGCCTCCTATACACAAATTATAGACAGGCCAAGAGAAAAAAATCAGAGGAACATTACCCTTCACAATAGCCACAAATATAAATATCTTGGGGTAACTCTAGCCAAACAAGTAAAAGACCTGTATGACAAAAACTTTAAGTCTCTTAAGAAAGAAACTGAAGAAGACATCAGAAAATAGAAAGATCTTCTATGTTCTTGGACAGGTAGGGTCGACATAACAAAAATGGCAATCTTACCAAACGCAATCTACAGATTCAATGCAATCCCCATCAAAATCCCAACATAATTCTTCACAGACCTTGAAAAAACATTACTCAATGTCACATGGAAAAACAAAAAAACCCATAATAGCTAAAGCAATCCTGTACAATAAAGGAACTTCTGGAGGCATCACTATCCCTGACCTCAAGCTCTACTATAGAGCTATAGTAATAAAAAACAGCTTGGTATTGGTACAAAAACATACAGGTGAACAATGCAATTGAAGTGAAGTCCCTGACATTAATACATGCACATATGAACAACTGGTTTTTGACAAAGTCAAAATGATAAAATGGAAAAAGGAAAACATCTTTAACAAATGGTGCTGGCATTTGACTGGATGTTAACATGTAGAAGATTGCAAATAGATCCATATCTATTGCCTTGCAGAAAACTCAAGTCCAAGTGGCTCAAGGACCTCAACATAAAGCATATTTAACAAGTGGTGCTGGCATAACTGGATATCAACATGTAGAAAAATGAATAGACCCATATCTATCACCATGCACAAAACTCAAGTCCAAATGGATGAAAGACCTCAACATAAAACCAGCCACACTTCCTAAATATAACCCCAATAGCACAGACACTGAGAGAAACAATTAATAAATGGGACCTCCTGAAACTGAGAAGCTTCTGTAAAGCAAAGGACACAGTTAACAAAACAAAATGGCAGCCTACAGAATGGGAAAAGATCTTCACCAACCCCACATCAGACAGAGGGCTAATCTCCAAAATATACAAAGAATTCAAGAAATTGGTCATCAAAAGAACAAATAATCCAATAAAAAAGGGGGTACAGACCTAAACAGAAAACTCTCAACAGAGGAATCTAAAATGGCTGAAAGACACTTAAGGAAATGTTCAACATCCTTAGTCATCAGAGAAATGCAAATCAAAACAACTCTGAGATTCCATCTTACACCTGTAAGAATGGCCAAGATCAAAAACACTGACGACAACTTATGCAGGAGAGGCTGTGGGGAAAGGGAACACTTCTGCACTGCTGGTGGGAATGCAAGCTGGCACAACCCCTTTGGATGTCAGTGTGGTGATTTCTCAGAAAATTAGGAGACAGCCTTCCTCAAGACCCAGCAATACCACTTTTGGCTATATACCAAAAGGTATATACTAAAGCTTCCTTACAGATACTCTCTTCAAACAGAAGGGATAAATGCTAATAAGCACTGTTAGTGGTTACTTACCTTGCGTGAGTTAATTTTTTTGGGGGGAGGGGGTTCGAGACAGCGTCTCTGTGTAGCCCTGGCTGTTCTGGAACTCACTCTATAGACCAGGCTGTCCTCAAACTCAGACATCCACCTGCCTCTGCCTCCCGAGTACTGGGATTAAAGGTGTGCGTCACCACCGCCTGTCAGATGAGTTAATTTCAATCATATTTCTCCTTCCTCTTTCAGACATCAGCATTTTAAAATTTTATCAATACTGAAAAATCTGAATGTAGTAATTCTTTTATTGGAGCTGAACTAAAACTATGGCATAGTTCTTGGCTAAGAAAATAAAACATAAGGTAGGGAAGAAAGACATCGAAAAAAGAATTTCTCCCTTTCATGTCACCAATACAAAGGTCCTAGAAACAAATAGCATATCTATGGTCATCATCAACTGCAGTGCCTTTTTTGTCTCATCTCCAGGACTTAGTTAAGTACCACAGAGCAAAGGTCACATTCTCCCTCTTCCACGACTCCCCTATGGGTCACAATAGCTAGTCTTCCCCTAAGCCAGTGTTTATCTTCCTAGACTTTCCTACTCTCTTCTTATCATGTAAGAGCATTCTCATTTGTATTTAGGATTACCTATTGCTCTGCATCATCTCAAACATCAATGTTCCTAAGAATGCAGTTACTAATCAAATATTTGAGAATCTATTATGTGCCAGAATGTGTTCCATGTTTGGGCTAAATCAACAAACAAAAGGAGACAAGGTCAAGTGATTCATGAAAAATTTTCCAGTGAGATAAATACATAATATATAGGAAGCACTAATAGGCAAGCTGGCTTGTATTGTAACCCAGCACTTGAGGAAGCTAAAGTAAGAGAACTGCAGTAAGTTCAAGAACTGTCTGGGCTTCGATCTCAGGTCATGATGGCGGGCAGACCTGCTGTATGGTTTTCGAAAATGGTAATTTTTTTAAAAATATTTATTTATTTATTTATTAAGTATACAGTATTCTGTCTGTGTGTATGCCTGCAGGCCAGAAGAGGACACCAGACCTCATTACAGATGGTTGTGAGTCACCATGTGGTTGCTGGGAATTGAACTCAGGACCTTTGGAAGAGCAGGCAGTGCTCTTAACCTCTAAGCCATCTCTCCAGCCCCGAAAATGGTATTATAATGTTGTTGGATTCAACAAACTGGGATTAATGCGAGATGATACACTACATGAGACTGAAGATGTGGAAGAAGCCATAAGAAGGCTTCCTGAGCATCTTTATAATGACAGAATGTTTCGAATTAAGAGAGCCCTGGACCTGAGCATGCGGCATCAGATCTTGCCTAAGGAGCAGTGGACAAAATATGAGGAGGACAAATTCTACCTTAAACCCTATCTGAAAGAAGTTATTCGGGAAAGAAAAGAGAAAGAATAATAGGCAAAGAAGTGATCTTGTAGTTGAGATCTGTGGATGTGCCTGGTCTCAGCATATTTTTATGAAGTTGTTTCAACCTGAATCACAATTTAAGAATTATTTGTTCTGCAGATGCCTCACTTTAAATAAATGTGTATTGAACCCATTCTTGGAATTTTCTAATTTAAAAAAAAAAAAAAAAGAACCGTCTGGACTAGAGTAGGCCCTGTCCCACATACTCAACACCCTAATGGAGAACTAGCTTGAATTACAGAAAAGCAGTAGAACTGAACTAACATTGGATAAACACAGGGTAAGTGTATGCATGCTAACCCCTAAGAGCTTCTACCTCAGCAGTTACCACTAATTCCTGAGGACCATCCAATTCTGACGTGTACAATTGTATCATTTTAATATTGGTTTTATAATCCTGCTAATTTTGTAGTCTTGTTTGTTAACATAAAATTTGTTTTGTTCGTTTTTGAGATAGTGTTTCTCTGTGTAGCCCTGGCTGTCCTAGAACTCCCTCTGTGGACCAGACTGGCCTCTAACTTACAGATCCGCCTGCCTCTGCTTCCCAGGTGCTGGGATAAAGCCATGTCCCACCATGTCTGTTCACATTTAAGTAACATTAAAATCAGTTCAATGACCACTGGAGTCCAGTTTAAACACTAATGCAGAAATATCCTTTCATACAAAATTAGAATTAGAAAGTAATAATATCCAGTGGCAGTAAGAGTGAAGCAGAAACACCTTCTTATAGCCCAAACAACCAGGTTGTAAATTAAGTTTCTTGGAGAACAACTTGCTAACATGTATCAAAGTTTCTAAGGTTAGGGCTGGAGAAATCCTGAGTTAAAATGCACTTGACTGCTCTTACACAGTACTGGGGTTCATTTCCCAGTACCCTGCTGAGACTCACAATTACCTGTGATTCCAACTCCAAGGGATCCAATGCCTATTTTTGGCCTCCATAGGTACTTGCACATACATGGCATAAACTCATACAGACATAGACATATACATATAAATCTTTAAACCTTTTCTAAAGTGATCTAGAAATTTGACAATTGTTTTATGAAAATAATTAGACAAGGTTGCAGGAAGTATATGCATGAGAATATTTAAATTTAAATGCTGAACATGGCAGTATATGCCTATAATCCTAGCACTTGGGAGGCTGAAGTGGGAGACTTGCCATGATCTTAAGGTCAGCTAGGGAAACACAGCAAGAAGTTCACAAGAGAAAGCAAAACAACTTATTATAGCATTGTTGAATAACAAAAACAATTTTAAACTGGGTTTGTTACAGATTCAACGTAATGCCCATCAAAATTCCAGCAAAATTCTTCAAAGATCTTGAAAGAACGGTACTTAACTTAATATGGAAAAGCAAAAAACCCAGGATAGCCAAAACAATCCTGTGCAATAACAGAACTTCTGGCGGCATCACAGTCCCTGACTTCAAACTCTACTACAGAGCTACAGTACTGAAAACAGCCTGATATTGGAATAAGAACAGACAGGAGAACCAATGGAACCAAATAGAAGACCTGGGGATCAATCCACACATTTTCGAACACCTGCTCTTTGATAAAGAAGCAAAAAATATCAAATGGGAAAAAAAAGCATATTTAACAAGTGGTGCTGGCATAAATGGATATCAACATGTAGAAGAATGAAAATAGATCCACATCTATCACCATGCACAAAACTCAAGTCCAAATGGATCAAAGACCTCAACATAAATCCAACTACATACAACCTCATAGAAGAGAAAGTGGGAAGTACACTTGAACGCATTGGCACAAGGAACCACTTCCTAAATAGGACCCCAGCAGCACAGACACTGAGAGAAACAATTAATGAATGGGACCTCCTGAGACTGAAAAGCTTCTGTAAAGCAAAGGACATGGTCAACAAGACAAAATGACAGCCTACAGAATGGAAAAAGATCTTCACTAACCCCACATCAGACAGAGGTCTGATCTCCAAATTATAATCCAATAAAAAATGGAGTACAGACCTAAACAGAGAACTCTCAACAGAGGAATCTAAAATGGCTGAAAGACACTTAAGGAAATGTTCAACATCCTTAAGTCATCAGAGAAATGCAAATCAAAACAACTCTGAGATTCCATCTTACACCTGTAAGAATGGCCAAGATCAAAAACACTGATGACAACTTATGCTGGAGAGGTTGTGGGGAAAAGGGAACACTTCTGCACTGCTGGTGGGAATGCAAGCTGGCACAACCCCTTTGGATGTCAGTGTGGTGATTTCTCAGAAAATTAGGAAACAACCTTCTTCAAGACCCAGTAATACCACTTTTGGGTATATATCCAAAGGATGCTCAATCATGCCACAAGGACATGTGCTCAACTATGTTCATAGCAGCTTTGTTTGTCATAGCCAGAACCTGAAAACAACCTAAATGCAGCTCAATCAAAGAATGGATAAGAAAAATGTGGTACATTTACACAATGGAGTACTACACAGCAGAAAAAAGTAATGAACGACATCTTGAATTTTGCAGGAAAATGGATGGAGCTAGAACGCATTAATTTGAGTGAGATAACCCAGGCACAGAAAGACAATTATCACATGTACTCACTCATAGGTGGTTAAACATAAGCAAAGAAAGCCAGCCTATAAACCACAATCCCAGAGAACTTAGACAACAATGAGGACACTAAAAGAGACTTACATAGATCTAATCTACATGGGAAGTAGAAACTAGAAAAAAACATGATCTCCTGAGTAAATTGGGAGCATGGAGACCTTGGGGGAAGATTGAAGTGGAGAGTGGAGAGTCAGGGAGGGGAGCTGAGAAAAATGTAGAGCTCAATAAATATCAATAAAAAAAATTTTTAAAAACAAAACAAAACTGGGTTTGTTGGCATACACCTTTAATCCCAGCACTCAGGGGGTAGAGGCCGGCAGATCAAGACCTGCCTGGTCTACACAGTGAGATCCTACCTAAAATACGAAAGAAACTATAAACCACCCAAACTGCTACTAATGATTGCAAATGGAACTAACTTCTCCAATAGAAGATAAATAGCTATTAGAAACGATAAGTACCGCAGGGCAGTGGTGGCCCACCCCTTTAATCCCAGCACTTGGGGAACAGAGGCAGGCGGATCTCTGTGAGTTCGAGGCCAGCCTGGTCTATAGAGCAAGGTCCAGGACAGGCCCCAAAAAGCTACAGAGAAACCTTAGGGGGGTAGGGGGGAGGAAAGAAATGGTTAAGTACCAAGTCAAGCATCTGGTTTACATCTGCATCACTAAGGAGACTGAGGCAGGAGGATCATTACTTTGAGATCAACTTATGCTACACAGTAAAACCTTCTCTCAATCAAAATAAATAGTATTAAAGGTATGTTTATGTACACAAAAAATGATTCATGTGTGTTAGAGAAATAAGTTCACAATATATTAAATTAATAAAGAAAAACGTTAAAGGTATATTTAGTGCTTGGAAGACAATATATTAAACTTAAAAGCAGGGGATGAATAATATTTTTTTCTATTTTTCAACATACACTTAATTTTCTACAGAATAATAACCTTTTTTTCCCCAATCTAAATAATGACAAGCCAAGACCTTGGGTACCACTCTACCACAGAGGGCCATTTTCTTGGTATCTATGGCATACTGCTTTTCTAGAATACTTTGTTAATACTAAATCTACATATGCTCCAGTCCCTTTCACAAAATGGCACAGCATCCACTGCAACCATCTACACAGATCCTCCTATATACTTGAATTTTTTGTTGTTGTTGTTTATGAGACAGGATCCTCACTATGCAGCCATGGCTGGCCTGGAACTTGCTATGCAGATCTGTCTGCCTCTGCATATCCTCTGCAGATCCTGAGTGCCGGATCAAAGGTATTCATTCACCACCATGTCTGGCCCTATCTGTACACTTTAAATCACTTCTAGATTACTCACATTATTTAATTCAATGTAAATATTATAAAAATACTTGATATGCTGTATTCTTAAAGAATAACATCAAGAAGTAAGTATTTTGGGTTCAATTAGAGATTAATACATATTCAACATAGCCACGTTCCCCCTCTCCCAAATTTTTGTTTTGCTATGGTTTTTGTTCTTGTTTTCTTGGTTGGTTGTTTTTTCAAGAGAGTGTCTTTCTATATAGTCCTGGCTGTCTTCAAACTCAACAACTTGCTTCTGACCTTCCTCCCCCAAGTGCTGGGATTAAAGGTGTGCACCACCATGCCAGGCCAGCTTTGTTCTGTTTTTGAGATAGGGTCCCCATTACATGGCTATCCTCAAACTCATGGTTCTCCTGTCTCATCCCCGAAAGTGCTGGAATAACAGGATACGTCACTTTAGTTAGCCTTTTCCAAATATTTTTGATATGAGGTTGGCAGGATTAGCTGATACAGAGGAAAGGGTGGACTGTACTAAATGATCTTCTGGGAACTTCCTTGTGTCAATTTTATCCTCTTTTATAATATGTAATAACAGTAATGGTTTAACCATTTTATCTAGGACAGTCACCAAGATGACACAAAATTGTAAAATGCCATTTGCTATACAGATATTCTGCTCTGAAAATTGGCACTTGGTTCACACTTTTCTTGCCTATCCTTTTTCTTAAAGAGAAATGCCCACAATAGATTCATCTCATATCCAGGTCTTAGTTCCTAGAATGATTCTACATTACTTTTTCACTTTCAATGAGAATATAGATCTAAGTTATTATTTGGAATTATTCCACCTTCTCTAAGAACTTTAATTTCACTTACATCTTTACTCAGAATCTTTACCCTGGGCTTTTTTGTCCTTTTCTGAACCACAGCCAAGTATTTCGACACTATCTCTTAGCAATCTAAAAAACTCATCCAACCTTGTATAACTGCCAACTGCTTTCTTTAGACAGTCCTGAATCAGAAACACTAAGTACTGTTGGTTACAAAATGTATGAGATCATGTTGACTGTGGCCACGACTTTGATTCAGCATTTGTGAGTGTGTGTATTCTGTGTACACAGCTAGTCTCAAGTCTTCCCACACTGTCCAAGTTCTCCAGTGCTACTCTCTCACGCTTGGCTGAAAGGCTAACCTCTCACATTATTGTTCCCTTAGCAGAAATACTTCATCTTCAGTATTCTACCTCAAGAGTTTTTC